TTTGTTTATACTGATGTATGGGACCATCTCCAGTTCCATCTCTTGCAGGCTCATTATATTATGTCATCTTCATCGATGATTCTACAAGGAAAGTGTGGGTTTATTTTCTGAAGAAGAAATCAAAAGTCTTTGATACCTTCAGAAAATGGAAGGCCATGGTGGAAAATGAGACTGGTCTGAAAGTCAAGCGGTTGAGGTCTGACAATGGAGGAGAGTACAAAAATAGGATATTCAAAGATTTTTGTGCAAACAATGGGATCAAGATGGAGACAACAGTTCCCATGACACCGCAGTAGAATGGCGTAGCAGAGTGCATGAACAGAACTCAGAATGAACGTGCCAGAAGCATGAGGATACATGTTGGATTACCCAAATTTCTATGGGATGAAGCTATGAACACTGCAGCTTACCTGATCAACCGTGGGCCCTCAATTCCTTTGAATGATAGAATACCAGAGGAAGTTTGGAGCAAGAAAGAAATAAACCTTTCACACTTAAGAGTGTTTGGTTGTATTTCTTATGCATACATAGACTCTGCTGAAAGAAGTAAACTTGATGCTAAGTCTAACAAATGTGCCTTTGTTGGTTATGGCGGTGATGAGTTCGGTTACCGGTTTTGGGACTATGAAAATCGGAAGATCATCAAAAGCAGAGATTTCATTTTCAATGAGAATGTGATGTACAAAGACAGGTCAACTGTAGAATCAAGCAGCTCCAATACCAAAGCTGAAACAAAGGAATTTACTGAGTTCGAGGAGATTTCTGGAAATGATGTTCAGATCAGTCCAGAAGCAGTTCAAGAAAAACCAGGCACACCAGAACTGAGGCGCTCCTCCAGAATTCCTAAACTAACCCAGCAGTATTCTCCTTCTTTGCACTACTTGTTGCTGACTGACAATAGTGAACCAGATTGCTATGATGAAGCAATGCAGGTGAAGGATTCAGTCAAGTGGGAGTCTTCCATGAAAGATGAGATGGACTCGCTTATGTCAAGTCAGACATGAGAATTAGGTGAATTACCACCAAGAAAGAAAGTGCTCCATAACAAGTGGATCTACAGGATCAAAGAAGAGAACGATGGGAGAAAACGTTACAAAGCGAGATTGGTTGTCAAAGGTTTTCAACAAAAGGAAGGTATTGACTATAATGAAATTTTCTCTCCAGTTGTAAAACTGTCTACAATCAGACTGGTGTTGAAAATTGTAGCTGCAGAGAATTTACATCTTGAGCAGTTAAATGTAAAGACAGCTTTTCTTCATGGCGATTTGGAGGAAGAAATCTATATGAGGCAGCCAGAAGGCTTCATAGAGGCAGACAAGAAAAACCTAGTATGCAGGTTGAAGAAGAGCTTGTATGGTTTAAAACAAGCTCCTAGACAGTGGTACAAGAAGTTCGATAGTTTCATGAGTAGCAGTGGTTTTACCAGATGCCAAGCAGATCATTGTTGTTACATCAAGAGGTTCGACAACAGCTTCATTATTTTATTGTTGTACGTTGATGACATGCTCGTTGCAGGCTCAGACATGCAAGAGATTATAAACTTGAAGCAAAAATTGTCGAAGCAGTTTGCTATGAAGGATCTGGGCGCTGTAAAGCAGATTCTTGGGATGAGGATCAAGAGAGACACAAAGTCGGGGACTTTGATGTTATCACAGGCTGAGTACATCAACAAAGTACTCTCCAGGTTCAACATGCAAGATGCTAAACCAGTAAGTACACCTTTAGGTGTTCATTTTAGACTCTCCAAAGAACAGTCACCAAAGATGGAGGAAGAACGTGCACACATGGTGAAGGTGTCGTATGCCTCAGCAATTGGAAGTCTGATGTATGCCATGGTTTGTACCAGACCAGATATTGCTCATGTAGTGGGAGTTGTTAGCAGGTACATGAATAATCCATGCAAGGTACACTGGGAAGCAGTCAAATGGATCCTCAGATGTCTGCAGGGTACTACAAACAAAGCACTTTGTTTCAAAGGTGGAGATAGGATACTGACAGGCTATGTAGATGCTGACTTAGCTGTAAATGTTGACATCAAAAGGAGTACTACAAGGTATGTCTATACTCTAGGAGATACCGCAATGAGTTGGGTTTCTCAACTACAGAAGATAGTTGCTCTCTCCATAACTGAAACAGAATATGTTGTTGTTACGGAAGCCAGCAAGGAGATGGTGTGGCTCCAAAGTTTCTTGGTAGAGTTAGGCAAGAAACAAGAAAACAATGTCTTGTACTGCGACAGTCAAAGTGCTATCCATCTAGCAAAGAATCCGTCTTCAAGTGGGAAATTGTTAAAAGTCCAAAGTTTGACAACCAGCTTTGAAAATGGTTTTCAAAGTTTGGTAAATATTTCTTTGAAAATGGTTTTTAAAATTTGATAAATGTTTCTTTGAAAAATGGTTTTTCAAAGTTTGGTAGATGTTTGTTGAAAAATTGTAATGGGGTAATTATAATTAGTCACTGAACTTTAGGGTATTTATAAGATTAGTCCTTAAGCTTCAACTATAAATACACTAACCCATTTAGCTTCAAAATCATCTCAAAAATCATTTCTTTCTCCCAATACTAGAGAGTTTTCTTGTGAGTAGTGAGTGTTTTGTAAACACTTGTAAATTTTCTCTCTTATTAAAAGATCTGCAGCAGTCCGGAGATGTAAGCAAATTGGTTGAACTCCGTTATCAATTTCGGGTATTATTTTTCTGTTTTTATTTCGTATTCTCACTAATCTGGTTATAGAGAAATTACTCGTACTCGGTTTATTTCCCAACAGGAATCCATTAAAGCAAATCATAAGTAGGCTTTTATATCGTAGTTGGGATCTTCCCTCAATGTTTATGTTTCTTTAATCATCATATGACCAGTTATATCATGTTATATATAAAGTAAATGAAATGTCATGAATGGATGTATTATATAGATCATCCATGAAAAACTTCTACAGAAATGATAATACAAACATTGAAAGAATCATTGTTCGCCAACATAAGACATCAATTTCTTTGTGCAGAACATGCTTATTTCAAGAAAAAACAGATATCATCACCAATTCAACTAGATTACCTAAAAATACAACAGAATAAGCAGCAACTCCAGGAGAAACCAGCTAGATGGAAGCAATATATACAAAACTTTTTATCTTCATGTGTTCCGGTACCGAAGACAGCCTCAACTGATGCACATAGTCTCTTCCAGGGAAGAGAGGTTGTCTAGTCATGATTTCACCAAGTAAGCAACCTATCGACCAAATATCGATTGCGGCAGTGTATTCAGAACAATTCAGATGTAAATCTGGTGCCCGATACCAACGAGTGACTACATATTCGAATCATAAAGTCGGTTTCAGATATCAAACTTGAAAGTACAAAATCTCCTATTTTAAGGTCGCAAATAGAGTTGAGAAGCAAATTTTTGGGCTGTAAATCACGATTCAAAACATTTGCTGAATGTACATATTTGAACCCTCGTAAAACCTGATATAGGAAGTACTGAAAGTGTGGTACTACATCATTAACAATGGTTCCAGCTTCGAAGCAACTAAACATAAAGCATACAATGATTCTAACAAAATATGACAAAAGAATGTAGGAAGTTCCTGTTATATATTTATATGAAAGGAAGTACTTGATATGAACCCGACAATGATCATCAGTCAATTAAGCCTAAAGAATAGAATGTTAACTTTCTTTCAATCTTCACAGCTTCAAAGCTAGGATCTAGGAACAAGCTTGTGTTATCATATTAATGAATTACAATCTTTAAACTTATTAATCAATAAACTTAAATAATAAAAAAAGAAAAAGAAACTGATCACATATTGACTTTTTAAAAGTCAATAAGAGACAATTTTTATGGGACCGATGGAGTTGTTTAAGGTGTGAGATTAGAGAGAAATGATGACTTAGTTTACGTTGTTAGAAATCTTTTCATATTTTTATTTTTGATATTTAGTATATTTATTTTTATGTCCTTGATTCTTCTTTTTATTATTTTTTTAATTTTCACGTTAGTCTTGACATTCATGTTTTACAACTTTACTGTAGTCATATCCGATAAAATTGGCCCAATATGGTAGACTAATTATTTAGCCCAGTACAACACAAAGGAAATTATATAGGGATATACGACATTTTATTATAGTGATTTAAAATTTGTTACGTCGACGTGATGAGTTTTAATAAATATATTTTTTATTTAAACTTTTCATCTCGATATGATAAAATCTAATAAAAGATTATATTTTATTGAAATTCGACATGTCGAAATAATGAGTTTGAATAAAAATATTATTTAGACAAACTCGTCACGTCATTGTAGCATTTTCCGTAAATTATAAAATAAATTTTAAACTGACTTATTGGACCAATTAATTTTCCCTCCCGGGAAAAAAAACCGTCATCTCCTGTATATTTGTAACAATTACTTTTGGGCATACATTTAGCCGAATAGGAATAGAACATCCTTCTACAAAGAAGCTCAAGATGCTCACGGTGCTGTCCGGCATACTGATACACTACTGACGAATATCGGATCCAAGGAACTATACAAATTCAACTTTTCACGTATATCCAGTGCGGGTCAAGGAAAAAAACTGATTTTTTTAACTTGACTTAAGAAAATATGACTCAAATTGATTTAACTTGTAATTTTATAAACTTGACTCGACTCGAAAAATTTTAGATTCAAATTGAGTTATAAAATAGAATCAAATAACTTAAAATTTTTCATAATTAGTTGTCACACCCCAAAATTTAGAGCTTAAATTAAATTTGAGGGACTAAATTGTGAGGAATTGAGAATTTAGTATATATTTCATCAGCTTTCAACTTGTCCAAGGACCTGATCAGAATTTAGCCATAAATTTTCCTTGAAATGTTAAAATTAAAAAAAATAACAAAAAAATAAGTTTCACATGACTTAACAAGTGACCCATTATTAACCAACCAAAGCCTTAGCCAATCAAACTAGGCTACCTTAGGTGATAAGAAATGATAGAAAATTATGTTAAGTTATTTTAGGTGGGATTTTATAAGTCCTTTTCACCCAAAATCAATTCCCAATCGTGAAATCACCCAAAGCTTCCAAAATATCCCAAAACCCCGCCCTAATCGATTGCCCAACACCGTTCACCGTCTTCGACTAGCAGTAGCTTACACCGCTGCCACGAACTTCTTCACCATCATCATGCGATCTTAACCCTGTCCATCAAACAAACTAATCGGCTATCGTTTGTCACGAATTTGGTAGAAAACGTTTGAAGATCCGTCTCCTTTTCCAACCAATACTGGGCAGTGATCGTCACCATTAACACCGATCGAAGCACCTTGTACGTCCGACCAAAACCCCTATCTTCCCTTTCCTTGAAACGTCATTGTTCGTCGTGAATCGGCGTTTGTTTGCTCGCCAAAACCCAAATCGCTGCCCACTGTCTCCTTTAATTTCTGGTCAATCCCAACGTTGGTTTGCTTAACCGCCTCCACTACTGTGTTCTCCGATCAATTTCGATCAAAACTCCGTCGATGGTGTTACCTTATCGTCGCATCTTCGTCGTCCGATGTTGGGTTAAGCTTTTGATCGATTTCTTTTGTTTTTTCAGCGGACTTTGGGTTGGATTATAGATTGATTTTGGTTGATTTTTCTAGGAGCTTGAATAGGGAGTAATCGACCATCGGAACCGATCCCGTCATAGTCTTCACACACCACCATGAACCACCGTCATGCAGAGGGCTTCTCGGCTGGCTATGAACCTTCTAGAACCAGTCTAGTTGGATCGAACCGGTTTGAATTGGTCTGCCTTAGATCAAATTGGTATGTTTTCCCAACTGAATCAACTCACTAAGTCAACTCATGCTAAGTTAATTCATGCTAAGTCAACTCAGACCCTTCTTTGATCCGGACCTTTGACTTTGACTATAATTGATTTTGACCAGGTTGATTTTGACCCAAAAATTCAATTTTTTTCAAAAAGTCATATAAGTTTGAATATGAAGTATATTTGTCCAAATTCAAATCCGATAAAGTTATTTTTCAGTGTTTAGTCTCTCACCCGATTAAGTTCTGTTTCTAATATAATTTGTTTTGTTATGTATCTAAGATTTTATGAGACATCGAATTCAAGTTCAAGGGCGACCAAATATATTTTAAATGGTCGATCAATGTGGCTCGAAAATCAAGGTAATACATTACTAGTTTTTGCATACTTTGTGGAACACTTGGTATTGGTTGCTTGAATTAATGTTATTGGTCATTTACGTATAGTTAACTATCGATGACTCGAACTAAATACGATATAAAGTTAGTAAACTTCATAAGACTCAGATGACTCGCATAAAAAGTTAGAAGATTAATAAGAAATAATCCAAGTTCAGTGATTAATTAGTAAATTAATAAACCTCAGGATCCTTAAAATTCTGATTACTCTCAATAAAGGTTTTAATACTGAAAATATTTGGATAAGAAATTACGAAGGCAGGGATTGTCCCTAGAAATGGAAATGACACAAAAAGCTAAACTTGATCCGATAAAACCACTATATTCATCGACTAAGTGTTGGTTCTGTTAAAAAATCCTGACATTTGATTTTTTTTTCCTCTGAGTTGGAAGACGACTTAGAAATTCGATTCTTGAGTAAACACTTGAAGATTGATTTACTTAAAGTAATGCCTATGACAAAATTAAACGATTTGATTGAAATATCCTTGAAATGAACAAAATACTTGGATTTCGCCTAACATAGAAAATGACATAGGATTTCATTCTTGACTTGATAGAACTACGAGTTCATTGGTTAAATTCATGATTTGATTTGAAAAACCTAATACTAGACTCCTAACCTTTGAGATCGCAACATGCTTGGATATTCTAATTTCTGAATAAATACCTGAAAACCAATTTGTCGATTGCACTTTATATGACTAAATTATATGAAAAGACTAAATCGAATACAGGATTGAAATACACTCAAGTATTAAATTGACCCAAATACCCTTATGACATAGAAATAAGTGGATGACTTGGATAAATTTTGGAAACATTGATAAACCTATGTATTGTAACATCTGTAAAGGTTAAGGAACAGGACCCAGGCAAGTCGGTCATTCTTAATAGTGCTACAATATAGAAATAAAATAAACACCCCCGGATTACATGTTTGTCCGCTCGAGATTCGTTCAATAAAGATTCTAAAGTTGATCAGTTCAACTAATGTAGTCAGTATTAGAAAATGAATAATCGTGATGTATTTCGGTCTCAATGATTGGTAAATATCGCAGTGTAGAGATCTAATAGTTCAATCTGACTCGAAATTCTGATAATTCAATATAAATTATGGATATTGTAAATCATCGTCTTACCATTATTGGATAAAGTTATTGAGAATTCTACGAGAATCATAATGTCTAAAAGGCCCCAGTGGCCTGAATAATGGAATCATTCTCAGTAAATCTTAATCTTGAACTACTATGTGGTAAAGGTTCATGAATACTATCCTGATGCACTCAAATTTCCATTTTCTTCTGGAGTACTAATTCCTAAATGTTTGAATCGATTCATTATTAATCAAACTCTTTTAATAGGGGTCTCATTTTTGTAATCCGATCAATTTATAAAAGTTTATGTTTTCTTTCCTGATAATTACTTCGTGCATCCGAAAAATATCTGAATCCTCTAGTGTGTTTCTATCTTCCCTGTTTTGAAAAGTATAACTCTGATTTTGAAACAAAAATACAATCAGTGTTTTCTGATACATAATACATCTGGCTCCTACTTTTTCATGTTACATATCACATGTTTTTACTAAAAAAATGTCTAATTGATGGGTTTTGGAATTATTGTTATTGTATGATCTGATATGGGTACTGTCTGGGTAGATGTATGGAGTTATGAGGTTCAGCTAGCTGGTCATTTCTTTCTGTCCTGTATATTGGGTACTGCATATGTAGTGTTCGGGTGGAAGTATTACAGTAATTTTAAAAACATGTTTTACTGAAATAAACTACTACTAATTTTAAACTATGATTACATTTTATTCTGATTTTGAGAAAACATACTAGACGTCCTATATTGATCTCCCGAAACTGTTCCTCTGAACGTTTCTTCTGAATTGTATGTTTCTTGACTGCTAGTTGAAGAATTAATTTTGGAAGTCGGAGTCCCATGTAGTCATAAAGGGCAGAAATTATATTTTGGACGAAACCCAGAAAGGATAGCGTGTGAACCAAGAGTTTTGGTAACACAACTTCCATGTAACCAACTGGAAACCCCGTGAAAATTACACTAGAAAGAAAACAAACTTACCAAGATAAAAGCAGCTTTTGTCTTTCACAATGGATTCGCATGGAAAATTAATACAGCGCATACGGAAGTAGTGTATATTTTGATGAACAAGAAAATAACAATCACAAGATTTTGTGGCCGTAACTTAAATCTCAAAACTATCCTAGTTCATTTTTTTTTGTTTTAGGTTTAATGCAAAATTAAGTAGCGAAAGATAATTTTATGTGTTCAATTTTTTTCTATTAAAAATACGTCTAATATTTTTCTCCGTTATACATTTAGGTGTCTAACTATTTTCTGTTACACTTTTTGGTGCTTGAGACGTAACAACAATTTAAAAAACCCATTAAACGATACATGTCATGTTTATATATTTTTTTTTAAATTTTATTTCAATTAAAAATTAAAATTATATTTTTTAAAAAACCTAAAATGTTATAAAATTACAAAAAAAAATCTCCAAAATCCCTAAAATCTCTAATTTCAATCTTCTCTATCTTTGCCAGCCTCCACAAATGTCAACGATCGGTGTAGCACTACCTAGGATTGCACAGAAGTCGGATTTCAATCCGATCCGGATCGGTTTTCATCCGATCCGGTTTTTTCCCATAGAAAAAAACCGGTTTATAAAATAACCGGTTCGGTTTCTAACCGGTTTGGAGGGCCGGATATCCTAACAGGTGTAACCGGTTTCAGTTTTTAAAAAACCGGTTTTTTTAAAAAACCGGTTATAAAAAAACCGATTTTAATATTATTAAAATTACATCGTCATCAATTGCAACAAAGTTTACGATAATTGGAATACTTAAATACTTCCAAGTTTGATAAATTCAAATACTTAAAAACGTCCAAGTTCGATAAATTCAAATACTTAAAAACTTCAAGTTCGATAATTGAAACAAAGTTTACGATAATTGAAATAATGTTTAAAAATAAACTACATTGCCATCTCTTCTTCATCATCTTCGCCTTCTTCGTTTGGAGGGGATATTCTATGTTCGACTTCTTTAATGTGTAAGCTTGCTTCCAAATCGGCATCAATTGCATCTTCTAGGGTGGTGATATGTTGCTTACGAGCCGCTCCATCCAAATAATCCTTTAAACAAATGCATACTTCCACCGACTCGGGACTTAGTCTTGATCTCCGTTGCGATATAACTCTGCCACTAACAGAAAAAGTGGATTCCGAAGTTACCGTAGAAGCTTGGACGGTTAGTAAATCACGGGCCATGGCGGCTAGAATCGGAAATTGTGCTTTCTTTTCTTTCCACCAAGCCAAAATATCCAAACTTTCAAACTCTTCAAATGTCAGTTTTGATAGAAAATCGCATGACATGTAATTTCTCAACTCGCTACTTGGGGTAGTAGTACGTGATCGATTGGATTGGGAATTTACAAGAGTGTTAAAAAGATTCAAATTTATGTTACTTGGACGTCTACTAGAAGATTCCGCATTAATTCTCATTTGATCGTGTATTACACTACTTGATCCGTATTTAGTTAAATAAATTGCAAACATGTCTCGAAAACATTTGTTAAAATAATTTATTTGGTTTTGGACAAAGTTGGGTTCATCATCGGTTAGATTAAAAGCAAACGCAATTTGTTCAATTAGTGTTTCAACCCCGCCAACATTTAACGTTGGGTTTAAAGCGGCGGCACAAGTAAAAATGGGGGGAATCTCCTTAAAATATTTTAAAAGTTTTTCCTTCATTGCAAAACCAATTTCTTGAAAAACTTCGGTTTCAAATTCAAAGTCATTTAGTCGGGTAGCCAACAAAAATATTTGATTAAGAACCAACGGGCTAGTAGGGTAATAAACACCGGATAAAAAAGTCGTTGCATTTTTAAAAACCCCAAGCAAATCGGTTATTTTGGCTATAGTTTCCCAACTCGAATCTAGATATTTGTTTGGGACATGACCCCTCTCGAAAAGCCGATCGTGAAATGTTTGCAATGTTTCCCTTTGCCTTAAGGCAGTATGCATCATCATCCAAGTTGAGTTCTAACGAGTTGGACAATCCAAATTAGGACCCAAAGTTTTTTTATTAACGGACTTACAAAATCGTTTATAATCATTTAGTCTTTTGTTGTTGTTACAAAGAACCGATTTTATCATTGTTTTAAATTCTAATCTAATCGGCTCAATAATCTCCAAACCGGCTTGCACGGATAAATTAATTATGTGTGCAACACAACGGGTATGAAAAAACGCACCGTCTAAAATCGGTGAAAGTAATATTTTCAATCTTGGAACCGCGTTTGTATTATTCGATGCATTATCAAAGGATATAGAAAAAACTTTATTTTCTAATTTAAAAAGACAAATTACCCTTTTAAAAGTGTAAATAAATTAGCACCGGTATGCGGCTCACCAAATAATTCAAACGCGATTGTTCTTTTCATCATTTGCCAATTATCTTGATCTAACCAATGTGACGTAAAGGCTAAAAAATAATTTCCGGTATTATGAGGGGAACTCCAAACGTCACATGTAAGCGACACACCATAACGGTGTTCTTGGAATCCTAAAATCATTTTTTCCTCGTCGTACGCCACATTTTTATAGCATCTCTTCTAAGGGTAGTACGACTTACTTGAGTATAAAGTGGTTGCATTTTGAATTGTTGTCGTGAAATCTTCACCATCAAAGTGGTCGAACGACAATGCTTTTGTAATCACGAACTTTGTAAACGCTTCTCGTAATTTTTCGTTGTCGTAAACAAAAACACCACCTTGCGGTGTAAGATTCGATTGACTAGGATCCGATCTTGAGCGAAGTGCCTTGCATGATTTTGTCAAATGGTTCTTCAACGTTGTGTTTCCTTCCGATGCAAGCAACTTTAGACAAAGTTTACAACGCGCCCTCCTCGAGCCATTTGACATCTCACATAAATCGTAGTGATCCCAAATATCTTTGTTTCGAGTGTGTTCGATCACTCTCACGACTTCAAGGTTTCCCCCGACGGAAGATTCAGCCGTGTTACTCATGATGAACAAAAAATTACAAAAATAAGATTTGAGAGATGTTT